TTGCATCGGCCGGGAATCGAACCCGGGCCGCCCGCGTGGCAGGCGAGCATTCTACCACTGAACCACCGATGCTGGCCGGGCGGGTTCAAACCTGGTTAGCGGAGGTCGTTGGGTCAAAATTGAATTGCATGAGGAGAAGTGAGGTCTTTAAGACGTTTCTGCCCCGGATAAGCAAAGCTCATGTCCAGCTGCTCTAAGCTGTCAACTTGTCTCCCTCCGCGCCCTCCGTGGCACAACCCTTGTAGGTGCGTTGTCATGGTCTGAAGGAAACAAAAGCAGTCGCCAAATAGCTTAGGGTCTCAATAAGTGTTGCACGACCATTGAAACTAACAGACATTGCAAGGCGAGTGCTGGCGAGATCTAAATTTTTATCATAAAATTATGTTTTGATGTCCGTAGGCAGTCGAGTATTGAGGTCGTCTTCTTTAAAGTCAGGTCCTTAGGTTGTAGTGCTGGTGACTGAGCTCAGTTGTTTGTAAAATAGGATGTATAATGTGGTCCAAAAGGGTACGAAGCGAATAATGAAATAGTAATGGGCAGTCTATATAGACATAATGTACACACACACACGCACGCACGCACGCACGCAGCGTCAAAACCTCTAGTTTTCCGCTATCCCTGACGTCACTCGAAACCAGACCGAACACGATCGTCTTGGGCCTAAGATGGAGAGGCATCACGACCACTTGTGCCGACAACGAGCTCCTTAACCGTTTGGTAATGCAGCTGGCTCTGCTACGGCTTCATGTCATGAACGTGTAGTGCAGACAGAGATGCGGGTACATTGCATGCTGGCGCCCCCAGGAAACACCTGAGACGAACGAGAACCTATGCTATACCGGACCGTTGCCAAGCCAGTGTTCGGGGCAGTGTTGGCCGCCGCGCGCCGCCACGTGCCGCGCCTAGTTTTGGCCTGAGGCGGTCGCGTTCCACCGTGGTTTCGGGTGGTTTCAGCGGTAAAGAGAACGCAGAGCCTTGGCAAAGCAATGAAACCTAGGAAACGGCCCTGGTCCTCCTCACTTCGTAAATCCAGAAAATAAGATGTTTGACTGTTTTGCCTTCGTACCGGCCATATTTCCAGCATGCACTTCTTCCGACTGGGCAACACAGTGGACGCCACTATATGTAGTAGGTGTGGCCAAGTTCTCACTGTCAGGCATACACTGGAAGAACGTGCGCCTCAGGTTGCCGAGAGGCGGATCGGTGTGGACGCGAAATAACCCTAACCTCACTCTTAGGTGAATATCCAGAGATTCACCTACATGACGTACTGTTTTTGAGTACTGTTGGAATGCACGTGATATACTCGCCTCAATAGCGCGTTAAACTCGCCACGTAAGTGAAATGTGATGGAGGAGGAAAATGGCCAAATTAGCTATCGCGCTCTATAACATGCATAATCATATCATAACATAATAATCATATAGCATGCATAAATACAAAAATAAGAGTTTGTTTATGCTTGCGTCTTTAGGGAATGTGATAAGGGCTAATTTCTATGACGTGGTAGCACTGAGCTGCGCAGACAGGTGGCGGAGGCGAAGCAGCTTACCGGATTGTGAAATGTGTTGCGCGCACTTTCATACGAAACACGTGAATCATGGGTGGCAAGGTGGGGTGTGGTATATATCCCTTTCCGCTGGCGTTGATAGTTCCTCTGCGGGTATGAGCGGCAGTATCTCAGAACTAAAACTGCATCGGCCGGGAATCGAACCCGGGCCGCCCGCGTGGCAGGCGAGCATTCTACCACTGAACCACTGGCCACCGATCCCACTAAAGTTGGTTTCCGGACGTCTGCGAGTGTATACGTCGCTATGTATCAGGAGTTATAGGTTGAAAAGTAGTTAAATGCCAAGGGTTCAGTAAATGTTATAACAATTGATGCTATATATTTATCCACCTAATCTAATGAAGATAGTAAAACCTACAGAACCGATGAAGTGACAAAGAACGGAACAGAAATACAATAGTTTTTATCTGCAGTCTCAAACATGGAAGCCGGGTGGCAAGGCGGGGCATGACACATGTCACCGCTTGTGGTGATTGGTGTGCTTCAGGTGTTAGAACCAGTGCATTGCGAAAATGCATCGGCCGGGAATCGAACCCGGGCCGCCCGCGTGGCAGGCGAGCATTCTACCACTGAAGTCCTAAAGTTGGTTGCCGAAAGTCCAGGGAGAGGGGAAGGGGGGGGGGGAGGCATTGTCTGGTGCTTTCTTCCATTCACCGTGTTCTCCCTCGTCACTCAATGGCGCCATTGGCCATTATATCGAGTTACTGGTTCCGTCCCCCAAGTCAACGGTCTCTCGTACACTCCCCTCCCTCCTAGCACCCAAAGTGCTAGGTGCAAAGTGCAAAGTGCTTTGACCCCACCCTCCCCTCACGGAAGATTGGGAGGTCCCCTTGGTCATGAAATCATGGCGACGCCCCTGCGGATGTCAGCGGTGCATTAACCCGCGCTCGGGTGGGGGTCGGAGTAAGGTCAAATTGACCCCCCCCCCCGAAGGTTTTTCCGGAACGGTTTCCATTGAATAGCGGATCGTTTGGGATGGAAAACTTCCATGTACTTTGTAAGGTCGCTGACCTATGGCAGGTCAAAGACAGGCCATGGTTTCAGCGGTCAATTTCTAGAGAATCGTTCAATCTGATGCAACAACGGAGTGTTAGACGAAGCCATACATGTCTGAGATGCTTTCTTAGGCAACACATCAGTTGAATGAGCAAATTTCATTGACCTAAGGTCAGGTATGAATGTCATACTAAGGTCAAAACCGACCTGTTTTATTACTCTAAGGCTTGGTGTGTGGGGTAGTTTCTGGTGCTCATTTCGAATTTGTTGATAGCGGAAACTGCATTGTACACCTTCCATGGACTTCTTAGAGGTCATAATAGCTCATTGACCTAAAATGACCCAGGCCAATATTTTTTTGGGGGGAGCATACTGCCTCGCGTAATTTTTGTCGCTTATTTAAATGCAAAACTCAAAGCAGCTTGTATGATCCTGGTCACCATGGCGTTCAAAAGGTCAAATAAGGTCATTGAACTTAAATGGGCGTGTGAACTTTTGCTTAGAAACGGGTATCTAGGTTGGGGGGGCACTTTGGGGACCATCCTGAAATTTAATCTTGTTTGACCTCATTTGACCCGAAAGTCGTGATCTAGGAACCTGAAACTTTGACCTAAGTGAGTTCACGTACAGGTCAACACACCCTGTAAATGTGGTGTATCTAGCTCTTTTAGTTCCCAAGATCTCATGGGGGGGGGGCAAATTGACCCCCGCCCGAGCGAAGGGTATCTAGCCGGCCACCTGGGCGCGTGTTAACATCTCTGCGGACATCAGCAGTACATTAACGCTTTCGGTGACGTCAGCAATACATTAAGGCCCCTGCGGACGTTTGCAGTACCACAGTACCTGACGCTGTATGCCGAATACATCCGGCAACTTTGGCACATTTCAGTTTTGTAATTGTTAGCACGTTGTAGTTGCGATTTACCCTGCGCATTTCTAACAAGTCCACCCACCACCTCCCCCACTAAAAGCTTGCTCCTCGTTCAGTCCCCAAGCCCCGTTCTACCCCCACCAGCAATGCAGTTTTGCTGTCGTTGGAACGGACACATCCACTCTGGTGGTGCGAGATACGTGCCTGTTAAGTTGCATGAAAAATGCGTTGCTAAAACGGTGAACGTGAGTTAGTATCCTTTGCAAAAAGAGTTTTGTGTGGTCCCGAGATAGCACCTGCATGTGACCATTTGTGTTCCGTAGTCTCTACCCGCATAGGATGTAATGTTCTCAACTGAATTAATTGTGCGTTTAGTGCAGTTCCCATAGGCCTTAAACCCAGCCATTTTTTAGGGGGGGGGGGGTCTTGTTACGGTCCCCAGGAATTGTCTCGTATATGAAGCAATGTCATGCGGTATTTCCCTTTGTTGGATAGCAGACATACACTGGAAGGCAATGGATTTAAAGAAATGTTCCACATTTATATGGGGTTTTGAACTGAAATAGCCATCTTGAAGACTTCGATGCTGTTCACAACCTTGCCCTTCTTAAGACCTAGACCCCCCTAGTTTCTGAGCTGTACGCCCGCGAAGTGGGGAGAATATTTCCAAGTCACCTTTGCATTCATGATGTCATAATAACGTCATCCAAATCTTGCCATTACATAAGGCATGCGGTGATCAGCGTTAAAAAAAAAGTCAGCGTGTTTACATCTAGCGTTTGTGAGCGCGATCTCCAGATATAACTGCCGTCAATTGGCTCTCAATCAATGTTGTGTAAGGTACCATGACGTAATGAAACCATGACACATTGAGGGACATCTTTATATTCGTATCGAGGGGCACATTTACTAAACAGATTATTGTGCTTCCTAGAGCAGTTTTTCACTTAAAAAGTGTACCAACAGTTCTAAGTGAGATGAGTTGTATATTGAAGCAAGCATCACTCATATCTGATGCTTGCCTCAATATCCTCAAATGTGAAATGTTCCCATAGATAAGACAGCACTAACAGTCTTATTCCTTAGAGAAAACCCAGGAGTATGGATATTTTCTTTCTCCGAGGAATAGGGCTATTACTTCTGTCTTATCTATGTGAATAGTGTTTCTCTGAAATGCACTGAACAACTTGCTCAATTGTGAAACATTTCCTTAAAAGTATACCAATAGTTTTGAGCGGGCTTGAGTGAGCCTGTTTCACAATATCGAATGCTTACTGCAATATATTCAAATGTGAAGCATTCCCTTTAAGGTTTCTTCACATTACGACCCATCACTGCGCTGCTCAGACAGCTGGCGGAATGTTTAGTGATGATGCGGATGCGGAATGCGGAACATAGCTTACCGCATCGTGTACGGTGGTGCGTGTTCTGCAGTAGCATCTGCGGCTGTAACGCGGAACAGACACATGTAACACGGGTGGCATTGTGAGTGGAAGGCGTGCGTCTTCACTTGTGCTGAATATTTTGCTGCGGAATAAACAGCATGTTCAAACTTAGACAAAATGCATCGGCCGGGAATCGAACCCGGGCCCGCCCGCGTGGCAGGCGAGCATTCTACCACTGAACCACCGATGCCCGCTGGGTACGATTTCGGGTCACGGAGCGTGCGGGGGCGTCGTCATTGAAGGGGTAGGTGGGTGGGGGTCAATTTCCCCTTCCCGGGAGCCTCGCGATGCCAGAATGACGTCAAGGATGGTGCTGTTGTATCGATTGTTTGACCTCCCAAATTAGCGATTCTGCTCGCTCCTCCCCCCTCTCGAGCATCAGTTTGGCATTGCAGGGATCGGCCAGACCTCCCCCCCCCCCACCTCCGGTGTGAAGAAAACACCTGCATGCGGCCGGTTGTGTTCGGCAGTCCGCACTCGCACATTATACAGTGGCCTTAAGTTTGATTTACTCTTTGGGTAGAATGAGACGTAGATCAATCAGACCAAGGGTGTCGATTTGTATGCTTTTGGGTGGGCTACTGCCCTCCGCCCCCCCCCCCCTCTCCATGTCCGTTTTTGCCACCCCCCTCCGTCTCGCCCGTGTGCTCCCCTCCACGGTCCTCTCCTGCAGCAACCTGCAACGATGTGTTCCATAACTAGATGGCTGTGCGTGTGAACTGTGATCTGAAGCCATGCCGTCCGCCCTGCCTGCAGGCCGCGTCTACGTCTCGGCCGTCAGCCGCAAGCTGCTGGCCACGCTGAAGGCCGGTCTGGCCGTGCCCGGCCCGGAGCGGGCCACGGCCTGGCTGAGCCTGCTGCGCAGCCTGGACGGCGCGGCGCTGCGCGCGCTGGCCGCCGAGCTGCTGGTCACGCTGGCCCCGCTGCCGGCCCCGGAGCGCGAGCCGCTGCTGCGCTGCCTGCTGGACGACAGGGAGGAGGACATCAGGTGGGTGCGGCCGCACGTGGGGAGGGGTTGGAGGGGGTGGGAGTCAGCGCGTTGTTGCGCTCCGGTGTGCAACGGTTGAGACTTGGTGCGGGAGGACTTGGCATGTACAGCGTGTGGTGAATGGGTTTGTTCGAATGTATATCAGTCCACCGTGAAGTCGTGTGTTGGTGCGAACGGCATCGGGGGCGTGACCTTGAACAAGAAGTGACGTGTAACGCTCATGAATGAGATAGACGTGGATGCACGTCACGGGCATGAATGAACGACGTCAACAGGAAGGAAGTCTGAGGCATGCACGAATGGATGCTTGTGGAGCGCGTGGACGGACAGACGGTTGGGGTGGGGGAGGGGGCCGCGAGAGCTCCACGTTACGCAACCTCTGACCTTCCTCCGCCGTGACCTCCGGCCGTCCTCCGTTGTGACCTGAGACCGTCCTCCGCCGTGACCTCAGACCGATCCTGGACGAGTTGCCGGAGGTGGCGTCGGCCGGCCGGCACGGCGGCGCCGCCAGCCTGCGCGCCTCCCAAGCGCCTCTGCCGGACCGGCTGTCGCGCGCCGTCCGCGGCCTGGGCCACCACAGCCTGCTGGTGCGACAGCACGTGCTGCTTGGCCTCAGGGAACTGCTGGCTCAACACCGCGCGCAGGTAACGCTGCTGGCCGCGTGGTCATTCGGGTGAGCGCGCCTTGTCGGTTGTGCAAGACTGGTGGGTGAGCAACGCTCCTAGGTGAAGCTGCTGGCTGAACATCGGGCTCAGCTGAAGATGATGAGTGTGATGATGCGCGGTTCATGGAGCGCCGCGTGCAGGTAATGGTGCTCGCTGGGGGTCTCCCCCGGGGGAAGTCTGCCGGTTAAGCGTCATGTGGAAGGCTCCTGTGTGACACGCCGGCGGGGCTGCTGTATGTGGTGGGCGGCTGCGCGAGTGCTGTGTTTTGTTTTCCTCTCGGGTGTGTTTGTGAGCCGCCACTGCATCTGTGCCCACAGATTAGTAAAATGGTGCAGTCGACGGAGAGCTGTGACGTAATCGTGAGTCAGCTTATCGACACGCTGGTCCAGGCCTGTCGGGACGCCGACAGCGACACGCAGCGGCTGATCGCCGAATGTCTGGGCTCGGTGGGTTATGTGCAGCTATTGGCTGCCTGTATGTCGTTGGATAGCATATTTACGATGCGGTTTGCCTATGTTCGTTTGGCTTCGGGGCTGCGGCATCTCCTGTGAGCGTAGTTCTTTATAAGTACGTCATGCATGCCCCCAAAGTTTGTGATTTAGCGTGGAATATGGACGCGTGCAAGTCATATTTCTCACCTGTGCGTCTCACTTTCCCAGTTTTACCGCGGCAGTTAGTGGTGGTTTTTAAGCCATATTACGATGCGTGGTAAGGCCCCAGTGGCGGCGACAACTTTGAAGTTTAGTGACGAATTTGTGACGGGCGAATTTCAAAGTAATCAGAGGAGTCAGCGGATGTGTGAAAACCGACATCGAATGTGACATTTTTGATTTATGCGTCACATTTTGCATGCTGTACCGTCATATGACACATGATATGAGAGGCAACGGCTAATTGCATCATAGGAGATGCATTGTTCAGCATTTATTGGTCTTGGTGGCATATCACGACGCTGTTCATATATCCCATTGTTTGAGAGCCTCTGGAATGCGTAAATTCTAATGTCACAATTTGCCACTTGGTGAAAAAAACTGTATATATGTACGTGAGACACATTTGTGCCAAATTTCAAGGTGGTCCAAGGAGCCTCTCCGCCTTTTTACTGACATGAAATGTATATATGTTAACATGTGTGAGGCCGTCAATTCCAAGATTTGAATGCTTCTGGAAGACGAACGTTTGAATGTCACGATCTAATCTTTGTACGCTAGGTGGAGCAATGCGATGTGAATGTTTCTGCCAAATTTCAAAGCAGTTGAAAGAGTTCTATTTTGAGTGACCTTGAACTTCTACGGTTTCTGACGCGCGTGGTTTTAAATGTCACATTTGGAAAATGTGATTTTATTTATTGGAAAGTTTTGTTCTATCAGCAAGCCAAAGTGGGTCGAAATCTGTCGAGTCCAGGAAGGTGCACTAAGCAATGACCTTGATCGACCTTGAATGTTGATCTTTAATAACTCCTTTGTTTTCGGATGTCACACTTAGTGACTTGTATATTCGTCAATGGCATAATTAGCTCTATCTGTTAGCTAAATTTCATTGTAATTGGTGAGTAGATCGATTGTGACACGCAAATGTGAATGTGTAATATCGATCTAACTTGACGGGCGTAAATGAACACCGTAGTTGAAGCGCCCTTTCACCCAAACAACATCACCATCCGGTCTCGTGCCTCCCCCAGCTGGGCGCAGTGGACCCGTCCCGGCTGAGCTCGCCGGAGCAGGCGGACTGGGCGCCGCCACCGCCGCTGCCGGCCGTCAACTCGGACCGGTTCGCCGCCCAGCTGCTGGCCCAGCTGGGCCGGGCCTTCACGGCGGCGCCCGACGGCACGACGCAGGCCTGCGCCTCATTCGCCATGCAGGAGGTGCTCAAGGTCGGTCAAGGTCACGCGTCACGCGATGGTCGAGGTCATTTAGTCGAGACGGTCAGGGTCACGTGTCGCATTGCCCAAGGTCACTGGTCAGGCCGCGAATGCGGTGGCGCCATGTCCAAACGGTTTAGCTGGCCCATCCGTTGTCCTCAAGGTCGTTGGCGGGCATGTGTCGCGAAAGCCAAGGTCACTGGTCAGCTGCAGATGTGGTGATGCTGGGCGCCAGCGGTTTTGCCCGTCCGCAGGTTGTGCTCTAGATTGGACGGCGCCACGTGTCACCCTCGACCGCTGAGAGGCCTCCTGCCGCTCCGCCCCCCTCGAGCGGGTTGTGTCAGGTTTGGGCAGTCACTGAGGAAAGACGAGCCGCCGTGGTCGTGAGCGCCGCCGCTTGGGGAGGGAACCGAGGCTGTGAAGGCTGCTTGTGCAGGGACAAACACGCACCTTTCGGTACACGTGGGACACCCGTCTCACCGGGCCATTTCCGTCCGTCTTGCGGGAGGTAGCTGAGCTTCGTCCTGGTCACTCTCTGCGACCACCACAAGGCCTGTGTTTCTGTGTGGTTCGTTCTTCATGTCTGCAAAAGCCAAGCGCTGCCGCCCTTCAGGTCACGAGACGGTAGGGGTGGTGCTCTCCTTCGTAACACATCGCTGGTCTCTTTGGAACCGACCAGCCCTTTGATGTCGATTGTGACCTGTCCCGAGCATCAGGTCAAGGTCACAGGGCCTTGACGTGGTGTTCGGCACTGGTGAAGCTCACTGATCCAGAACCACAGCCTGCCGCCGGCCACAGCCGTAATGGGACTGTGCCTGCCTCCCCGACTGACACGTGGCGCTGACGTTGGACTGGCCGTGGTCATTTGTGATCCATACCGGGCATGGTTACACAGCTAACCAGGTGTCATGTGACTGACACGTGACCTGGCCTACTGCCCTGGCGAGAGCTCAGCGGCGGCCTGGCCGGACCCAGGCTGAACAGCGCTGACCTAACGTGGCCCGAGACTGGACTGGCCCGGACCGGACCTGACCCGGGCCGATCTCGATGTGCCCTGGTCAAAGGGGTGTCCTGAATCCGCCCAGACCAGATCTGGCCCTGTCCGCAGGCCTGACCCGGGACCAGACAGGATCTGGCCCTGGCCAGACGTGGGTCTTAGCACAGATCTGATCTGACCCTGGCCAGGCCTGATCCTAGCAGAACCTGATTTGGCCCTGGCCACGGCATCAATCTGAAGCCGGGCCTGAAGCGTGTTTCAAACTGATCTTGGCCGGACGCTACTGGTCTGACCTTGACCCCTGACATCGACTGGCAAGCTTCCCCTGGGCAAAACATGACCCTACCAGACGTGGACTGGGCCTAGCTCTGACCATCCCCCGGCCAGATCAGGACCTGACCCTGACCGGACCTGATTCACCTAACCTAATAATCACCAGACCAGACCTGACCCTGACAGTCATGACCTTCCCCCGGGCTTGACCCGACTAGGCCGGCTCTCGCCCCTGACCTGGCCTCTGACCTGGTGCGTCCCCCAGGTGTACGGCGGCAGCGGCGGCAGCGGCGCCTCCCCCTGGGAGTCTCCGTCTCCCCCCTGAACCTGGTGCGTCCCCAGGCGTGTACGGACTGCGCAGCGGCGGCAGCGGCGCCTGCCCCCTGGGAGTTCTCTGTCTCCCCCTTGACCTGGTGCGGCCCCCAGGTGTACGGCGGCAGCGGGCGGCAGCGGCGGCAGCGACGCCTCCCCTGGGAGTCTTCTAATCTCCCCCCCACTGACCTGGGGGCGCCCCCCAGGGGTACGGCGTCAGCGGCGCGGCGGGCGGTCGTCGTCCCTCTGAGTCTGGTTCGTCCCCCAGGTGTACGGCGTCAGCGGCGGCGGCGGCAGCGCCTCACTCTGAGTCTGGTTCGTCCCCCAGGTGTACGGCGTCAGCGGCGGCGGCGGCAGCGCCTCACTCTGAGTCTGGTTCGTCCCTCAGGTGTACGGCGTCAGCGGTAACCGCGGCGGTGGCGCCCCCCTCTGGGATTCGCTGCCGGGCGAGCTGCGCCATCTGCTGGCGCCGATGCGCACCTCCAAGTACCAGCTGTCCACGTCCCAGGGCCGGGAGCCGCCGTCGCCCGTGTACGGCAGCGGGTCGGCCGGGCCATCACACGCCGAGTGGATCGGTGAGGGACCGTTCGTGCTCGGCACGGGCGGCGGGGGCTGGCGTGGGTGGGCCGATGGCTGGGGATTGGGGAATCTGAGGTTGGATGATGGTGTGGATGATTGATTCCAGGGTTGGGTTGGTTGTAGGAGTATTGTTGGGGGGGGGGGGGGGGGGGGGGCTGTGGACGACTGCGCTGTTGATGCACGCTGTGTTGATTGTTGTCGGCGCTGGGTTCCGTTAATTAGCGACAACGGTCTATTTGTTCCTCATTCGTGATGTATTGAGGCTATCAAGCGTCGTACTTTGTCCGTATGCAACCTTGTTGACCGAACTTTGCTCGAAGCTATTCTGCGACCGCATTGGCCTTACCAACTGATGTATGCCCCCGTGTTTTAATTTTTGACATTTGCGTAGGTCACGCCAAAGTTACTTGGATTGTTGTCTCTGTGGAGTTATACTGTTGCGGTCGTCGCCTAGCAACCGTTCTTCCCGACTCGCAAGAGCCTGACACAGTCTTCCGGCCGGCAGGCCTGTGGCTGGCGCAGCTGGCGAGCTTCGTCACGCAGCCACAGGCGGCGCCAGTGTTCGCCGCCATCAAGCCTATTGCCTGTCGCGACCTCTCGCTGGCCACGTTCCTGCTGCCATACGTGTTTATAAACGCGATCATAGATGGCGGTGGTGCAGCGCTGCGCGCGGCCCTGACCGAGATCGAGGCTGTGCTCAAGGACAACAGGTCAACGCCCGGGGAGGGGTGAGTAATGTTAGCTGATGGGGCTTCTAAGCCATCAAGCTGAATAGTTACTGATTTGGCCGGTTGCTTCAACCGACGCCTGCCAAGTTAGTGCAAGCTGCTAAGTTTTTCTTAGGCCTTAGCCTCTCTTGTTCACGGCCCGTGACGTCCGTCCGGCCTCTTGTCGACATAGCTCGCTGTATGTTTTCTCTCCGCAACGCCTCATCATTCCAGGAGCATGCCGCGGCCATCAGCCGTGCGAACCGCTCCGCCGGCCGCCGTGGTTGTCGGTCACACCAGCTGCCGCGTTTGTCAGTGACACCGGCTGCCGTGGTTATCGGTCACACCGGCTGCCGTGGTTGTCGGTCACACCGGCTGCCGTGGTTGTCAGTCACACCGGCTGCCGTGGTTGTCAGTCACACCGGCTGCCGTGGTTGTCGGTCACACCGGCTGTCGTGGTTTTCGGTCACACCGGCTGCTGCGGTTGTCGGTCACACCGGCTGCCGTGGTTGTCGGTCACACCGGCCGCCGTGGTTGTCGGTCACACCGGCTGCCGTGGTTGTCGGTCACACCGGCTGCCGTGGTTGTCGGTCACACCGGCTGCCGTGGTTGTCGGTCACACCGGCTGCCGTGGTTGTCGGTCACACCGGCTGTCGTGGTTGTCAGTCACGCCGGCTGCCGTGGTTGTCAGTCACACCGGCTGCCGTGGTTGTGGGTCACACCGGCTGTCGTGGTTGTCGGTCACACCGGCTGCCGTGGTTGTCGGTCACACCGGCTGCCGTGGTTGTCAGTCACACCGGCTGCCGTGGTTGTCGGTCACACCGGCTGCCGTGGTTGTCAGTCACACCGGCTGCCGTGGTTGTGGGTCACACCGGCTGTCGTGGTTGTCGGTCACACCGGCTGCCGTGGTTGTCGGTCACACCGGCTGCCGTGGTTGTCAGTCACACTGGCTGCCGTGGTTGTCGGTCACACCGGCTGCCGTGATTGTCAGTCACACCGGCTGCCGTGGTTGTCAGTCACGCCGGCTCCCGTGGTTGTCGGTCACACCGGCCGCCGTGGTTGTGGGTCACACCGGCCGCCGTGGTTGTGGGTCACACCGGCCGCCGGGGTTGTCAGTCACACCGGCTGTTGTGGATGTCGGTCTTACCGGCCGCCGGGGTTCTGGGTCACACTGTCGTCGCCAAAGATAACCCAAGATGGCCGGAGTGCTGGTGCATTTACTATGTATGCGCTTGATTGTATTTGCCTGCATTGGTCCTCGTGCGGAGAGTGCTGACAGAGCCCAGCTAATGGGGCTGCGGCGCCTTGTCATCTGGAATGCGGTCCTAGAAATGTCCCATGTGATGGCGTGCTCTCGGTGCAGGCGTGTAGTTTCCTATCCAGTTCGGGGATCTCCCCTCCCTCCAACTTTGAGTTTAAAGTAGGTCAAATCCCGGGGAAACCCGTTTTAAGTATTTTGGGACAAGGTGTTACCATTTTCCTTGTTCAGCCCTCACTTTCCAACGAATTTGCGAACATCAGTGTGATAGCCAACCACCCAGGGACCTCGAAGCATCCAGATTGTTTTAGCGGCGGCACGGAGCTCGGTGATAACAGAATGCATCACGCTGGTTTTTAACTTTCTGTCAGGGGCCGCCTATGGTAAAATAAAGAAAATGTGGACCTCAGGCCGCGCTTCGTGAACCCTTTCACTCCGCCGTACGACCATCGAAGTATGAATTCACTCCCGCCGAGCTGGGCCTGTCGTGGCGCTCTACGCGCATGCGCCATTCAGTGTTGCGCGGTAGGCGCGAGCGGTCGTGGCCGAGTGGTTAAGGCGTCTGACTAGAAATCAGATTCCCTCTGGGAGCGTAGGTTCGAGTCCTACCGACCGCGTTCGTTTGGTGGTTCTTGTCGACGGCGCGGTGCAGTTTTGTGGTGTTGTTTTATGTGCAGTGCCGCAGTGCACTTTATATTTACTTCTCCTGGAGTTGGAGTCGCATGATGATCACCCCCGAAAAAACAAAAGCGAAACAAAACTCACCTAGCATGAGCCGCGCGTTTTCTTACTTCATTGTGGACGGGATCACACGGGACCCCTGATCGTTCGGAGAATCTACAAAGCGATTGTATTCGGAAGACACTGATCAAACTGCATAGAATTGAACCCTCGGTACCGCGTGCGTACTGGACCACTCAATTTCAAAATTGGCAGCCGAAGCATTGCCCCCGTTTTAAGCTAATAAGCAAATATTCTTGGCTCAGGGCACGTGTATACAGACAGTAAACGCGTCAACATCACCGTCCAGTCCGTACCAATGTGTTGGCGTTTTATGGCCGGTTATCGAGCTAGACGAAGGCATGATTTTTCCGCATCACAATTCCCTTGCACACACACCTGGCACTCGTATTCTCCTTGCCTCCCCCCTCTCCAGTTGGGAACACCTGAGTCAGTGTAAAGTAGGGCTGTGTTGTATTGTTAGGGGGCCTATGGCCTGGGCTGTGCGCAGAGAGCTCGAGGCCGTACGCATCTGCGGTTTAATGGCCTTTGCGTGTCATCCACTGACTGTGCAGCGGTCCTTTCAGACCAAAGGAACTCAGATCTTACCAAAGAAGTAGGGCTGTGTGTTTCCAAAGTGTTTCCTGCATGTATCAATGGATTGCACGTGTCCAACAAGAATAAATATACTCTCCGCGGTAGGACGAGGATTGTGACAGTCATGTCCGCAATGGAACAGCACTCTTGCTTCTTTATGCCACGCCCACCACAGCGGTGGTGGGCGTGGCATTCCACGCGCATGCGCCATGGCGCCTTCCGCGGGGAGATGCAGAAGCGGTCGTGGCCGAGTGGTTAAGGCGTCTGACTAGAAATCAGATTCCCTCTGGGAGCGTAGGTTCGAGTCCTACCGACCGCGTTCATATTGGTGAAATTTGGCGTTGTGTTGGTGTCCATCACGCTGTAGCTGGTGTTGCATCGACATGGTGCCATGGCTTTACCACCACGAAACCCTGGCGGACGCAGGCAGGATGTGGAAAATATTCCCATTGCGGTCAGGGAGGGAAGGAAGGATGACATGAATTCATGCTTCAGATCCATGTCTCATTTGTCGTCTCCACATCCGTTATGCTTTCATCGTTGCCCGTGCGCTGCCCCTTGGCACTGAGCCGTCACATTCTGCCCTGCCCACCCGATCCGTTCTGCCAGAGGCGCAAATATGCTAGGTTGACCGCCATCCGGCTCGATGCTGATTGGTCCATTCTGAGCGAGGATCGATTCTGATAGGTTGGTCGATTCTGCTCGATCAACAGCCCAAGTTATGTCCATTGAGGTGGAAAATGTCGGTCTCCTCGGCACGTGAATAGCTGAACTTTGCCACCTTGAATACTGGATGGTGACACGTTATCACTCAGCTGTGTCATTGGACATCAGTGAGCTACTGCAGATTATTGTGCTTAAAGCAATGGGCCTTCACTTTGCTTGGTAGCTCTCGGTAAACGACAGTACGACCACTGTCCCTGCGACTGCCACGCAATGGGGGAGCCCTCGACAACCAAGTCACGACCGGCGCCTTCGAGACAGCCCTCTCCCTGACCCCTCACCCTGGCCCCTTCCCTGACCCCTCCCCTGACCCCTCCCCTGACCCCTCCCCCTGACCGCTCCACTTACCCTTCCCTGACCCCTCCTCCTGATCCCTCCCCATGACCCTTCCCCTCACCCCTCCCCTGACCCCTCCCCTGACCACTCCCCTGGGCCGCCTCCCCTGACCCCTCCCCTGGGCCGCCTCCCCATGACCCCCCCCCCCTGACCCCTCCCCTGACCACTCCACTTACCCTTCCCTGACCCCTCCTGACCCCTCCCTATGACCCTTCCCCTCATCCCTCCCTACGACCCCTCCCTATGATCCTTCCCCTCATCCCTCGCTACGACCCCCCTGACCCCTCCCCTGATCCCTCCCCCTGACCCCTCCCCTGACCCCCCTGACCCCTCCCCTGACCCCCCTGACCCCTCCCCTGACCCCCCTGACCCCTCCCCTGACCCGCCTCCCGTCGCCGCAGGCCCGGGACGGAGGTGCACCGGCTGTGCTGCCGCGCCGTGTTCGCCGTGCTGGACGCGGCCGTCAGCTGGCGGACGGCTCGCCTGAGCGAGTGCGGCTCCAGTCTGCGGCTGCTGGAGACGCTGCGCACCGACGACCGGGCCTTCGGCGCCGTCACCGCCTTCGTGGACCAGGTAGGCGGCGCCTGACGCCCGCAGGCCGCCCGCACACCGCACAGGCGCAGCGCCGCGGGGCCGCCTGGCGAGGCGGGGCGGTCCCGGCCTTGCGAATAACGAGCCGTCGTGGTGTAGTGGCCAGCGCATATGCAGCGGTGCACAATGTTGGCGTGAGCGTGGTGCAATGTCGTGCTAAGCGACGAGCGAAATCTGGGGCGACGACTGGCAACCGACGTCGTGAGTTCGTGGCGGCAGGTCGTCAGCGGGTGTTATGGACTGTAATGACGCTGGCTGGAGAGCGCGGCCGCGGTGATCGTGGCTTATCACGATAAGGCTGGGCAATGACTCTAGCATGAGGTTATGGCGAAGTTCGGGCAACGCTGCCGGCGCCTGCACGTGAATTCAGAACGGTCTCGTGGATGGAGTGGCACGCCGTATGCACCTGGGTGGTGCAGCAGGAGCGGTCGTGGCCGAGTGGTTAAGGCGTCTGACTAGAAATCAGATTCCCTCTGGGAGCGTAGGTTCGAGTCCTACCGACCGCGTTCATATTGCTGCATTTGTTGGGATGAGAGGGCATTAGTAGAGTCAATTCGCTCGGGTTTTGTCCTACGTAGTTGCCCCCCCCCCCCCGCGGTCCTGGATGTAACGGCGGTCAGTCATGTTCTATCGTTGCTATGGAAACGTCCATAAATATGCACCCATTTCACCGAGACGATTTCTGACCCGCCCATCGCATGGGAAAACTTAGACATATAGCGGTTTCGTAATTTTGTAAAATATCAGGAATTTACACAGGCTTTCGGTAAAAACCGTCGAACCTTTCCATGTTTGCGTTCGTTTATGCACGCATGCTAGGATGAGGGCTACTGATATGTGCGCACATGCGCCGGCGTGAATCAATCCACCGGCTCACTTTCCTCGTGGCAGAAAACCCGAAGCCCTGTATCGTGACGTTTTGTGGTCTTCTTTCTAGTGCTGTGCGAGGCATGAGCATGTGCCACTGCCGCAAATGGCAGCATTCCCTCCGCCCGCAGCGTCGTTGCTGGCCTTTCTGCGCCGTTTTGGACACTTTTGGGCCCTTTTGGACCCTTTTGGACCTTTTTGGAACCTTTTGGGCCATTTTGGACACTTTTGGGCCCTTTTGGACATTTTTGGACCCTATTGCGCGATGCGCTATGTAGTTCGAGGCGTATTTGGTAGTGTTTGTTGACTCGGTATTGCCATGACCTAGCTTGACGTTCGTCTTGCGCAAATGACAAGAATTCTGAGGTTAAACCGAGCACGAGGCTAGCGCGCTGACCGCCGGCTGATAGATGCTCTTTATCCGTTATGTTTTTGCATCGCCCCGGCATACGAACTACGTACACTGCCGTTGGGCATTCACATAACTCCGCTGTGTTGAAACAGGTGTCCGCGCGTCACCATTTGTACTTCTGACACCACCCAGAGCGCTTGGAACACCGCGTGTTAGTTAGGGCTCGGACACCGCTCAACTTTCTACTTGGCAGGCCCTTAAAGGGTTATTGGCACGCGATTTTGTCGGCCGTTCTGAAGCGTGTGATGTCAAGCGACTGTTTTGGGCACCGTGAACAAGTGAACCGGCTTAAGCTGCCAAATCTGCTTGCCAAGGAACAGCATCAAGAGGAGCATATGCTCCATAGCTCGTGATGCAGGTTTGTCTTGTGTTGCGTGATGCTTCCCAAGCGGCGGTCAAATGGTATGGTACGGGCGGTCGTGGCCGAGTGGTTAAGGCGTCTGACTTGAAATCAGATTCCCTCTGGGAGCGCAGGTTCGAGTCCTGCCGACCGCGTCCATATTGATGCCCTCCGGGGGTGACGCGAGAGCATTTGTGAAATGCGGCTCACGCCAGGTTTTGAGAATGAGCCCGCTTGCTCGGGCATGACGGCTGCCAGCCCGGCTACGCACACAGTGTCACCGATATGGATGTCTGCCCGTTGAAATAGTTGCATGGCCTGTGCCAGCCATTTGGTTATTTCGTGAGTATTTCAAGACATTGTAGACGTTAAGGTTTTAATTAATATTTGAAAAATTAACATTTTAAAATGTGCATGAGATCTTTGGCATGATTGCAGACATCGTAATAATAATACGTTTGATCAACTGCATGGCAGTGATTATGTTTTAAGCATCCAAAACAAGCCAAAATGTGCAACGAGGTTTTGGTATCAAGCTGTTTACGGGTAGTGACAACCCGTCTGTATTTGACAGTTTTTATCTGCAATTCGTTGTTACTCTTTTCGTTTTTGTTTTGTTTTTGTTTTTTTTTTTACTTCCGAGCTGTCTTAACCACCGGGGTGACTTCCCATGCTTTCCTGGCTCTGAAGTATGTCACCCATCTTATCTTGTGTACTTGTAAATCCGACTATTATACGTCAGGACACGGCGGTTTACTTTAGGCCTGGAAACCTTCTCTATATACTTGACAACGTGCTGTAACTCGTTTGTGGTGCATTGGGTTTCGTCGGTCATTCGGAAGCCGGTGACGCCCCTTGTTTACATCTGACACCTGGAGCGGATGAACCTGCTGAAATTTCTGGCCTTGATTGCGTGGGCACGAACATGTGCTGTCAATGCCATGAGTTATCACGGCAAATAATTTCGTCTTGTTTTCGTACTGCATGAAGATTTCCAAGAACGTCCGCAACGAGCATTTTGGGGCGGTCGTGGCCGAGTGGTTAAGGCGTCTGACTTGAAATCAGATTCCCGCTGGGAGCGTAGGTTCGAGTCCTGCCGACCGCGTTACATTGTTGTCTTTATTGGAGATGGTAGGGCATTGGTAGAATTAGACATTTCAGGACTTTCCTGGGTGGTTGCCCGACGTACCTGATGTATCAGTATCAGTTGCAGGATATTAGGAACCATCCACATAGTGGGCTTTACGGTTTGAGGCCACACGGGTGAAGCATGAAAAGGCACACACAGAAGGTATACAATAAAATGGTATGAACAATGGTCCAAGTCAAAGTCAAAAATGGTCAAAATGGAACAATGGTCAAAGAGATAAAACGGAGCTATCTTTGGTAAATTGGTCAGTTGGTCAATTGGTAAATCTATGGTCGGAGCTATCAATGGTAATTGATTACACCAGTGGTCAGTGATAAAAGTCACATCGTGTATAGCGGTCTTCAACGCGCTCAGTCTTGCGGCATGACGGAGGTACGATGGCAGGCGGTCGCAGGCAGCTGAAGCTCGATAGGAAAACGCCCTCTGTGTAGCGGTCAGTAGCTGAAGCTCGATAGGAAAACGCCCTCTGTGTAGCGGTCACTAGGCGTCCGCGTAGGTGCGGACAACCTCCGTACGAGACGCGCATTTGTCGGGTCAACACAGTGCGCGGGAGACAAAAAGCGCGCGGATGTCGTGAGGCGCGCCTACCTCCTTCAGCGCCCAAAACACTTCGATCACATAGTGGTGCTCCACCGTGGCCTTGCTCCCCGGCCAGGCAAGAGAATTTAGAGCCGGAGATATATGATGATGGTTTTGGAGCCGTTAATTACTCTTGCAGCAAATGTAGTAGGTAACATGAGGGAATACGTAAGCATGAATGGTGATTTTGAAAAGATCTGAGTCAAATGAATGACGGAATTTGTACAGAGAAACGAGGATGCCATTGCATTTTTTCACGACGCTCGAGACATGGACACCCCGTGACAGACCGGAGTCAACTGTGACGCCGATAATTGATGTTACTTGCGCATTAGCAGGCGTGTTCAGTGGAACCATTTACTTTAAAGTGCACGTCAGCTGACTAGAAGATTGTGGCTAGAAGATTGTGCTTGGATCCAGCAAGCATAAAAGCAGTTTTTGTTTCGTTCAATTGGAGAGAGCTGTCATTGAAACAGTTCTGAAGCTCACGCATGGTAAATTCAAGTCTGGTTTTGAGGTCGGCAGGGGCGACCTGGACCTGGTTAAGGTCGACCTGGTCCGTAAGGGGGCACGCAGTCCACGTGCATGGTGTCGCCGGCGCAGGAGATGAAGCGGCCATGAGTCAAGTATCCACACAGACCATTGGTAAACAAACTGAACAAAATTGCACCCATGATCGAGCCCTGGGGTACGTCGCATGACATAGGAGGACGTCGTGGCTCTTAAACCATTTCACTTAGAGCCATACCGTTACAGCCATTACAGCCATACCATGACAGCTTAGTGAGGAGGACATCATAGTCGTCGCTGTCGAACACCTCTGAAACATCGATCGTCGCGACCGACGATACAAGCCGTCGTCGGTGTTGGTAGCCAGGCGTTCGACCGCGGCGTGCACGGCATCTTCGGTCGAGTGGCGCGGCCTATGCTGTCAGATGTATAGGCATACTGGGATGGATGCAGCAGCACTGTCGTGTTTAAATACTCCTCTAGCTGGGTGCTTTAGCTTTTCTTAGATCTTAGAGAGCACACTGAGTAGAGATATGGGCTTTTTATTGGACGGTATTGAACGGTCACCTGACTTCCGGAATTGGTACAACACATGCCGCCCTCCAGCTTTCTGGGAAAATTTTACTCACGAGAGACAAGTTGACGAGTTTTTAAAAATGAGGGCCGACGACTGAAAAACATTCCCGCACAGCCTGGAGTGGGACCTCTCCAGGCCTACCGCCTAGGACGCGCTCATACGCAGAATACATCGTGACAGCTCTGTTCGCGTCGCAGGTCGGTGAGATAGCCAGCCCAGTTGCGCCACGGAGTTGTCCTCAAAGGGGATGCCTGTCCCTTCAGAGTAGTCTGGTGTATCTGCCTGCCCTGAGAAGCTGGCCACCGCTTCGAATGTGGCGTGGGTCAGTCGAGTCACGTATGGAAATTCTGCTAAAGTTACGTAATTTTAAAATTCTCCGTAAGTGTCCCGTAAGAACAGTTGGCCCACCTACCCCGTAAGAAAACTTAGACATCACGCCTCCGTCACTTTGTAAAACATCACAAGAAATTCGTATTTTTGTAAGCAAGCCGCTGCATTGTTTCCATATATGCTTTATGTTTGAGCTTGTGTGCACATGAGTTGTTGCATATGTTAGCTCTGTAATATCATGACCAGTGGACGTTTGGATGAAGTTCAAATGAAACAAAAAACCCTGGGTTAAAAGGAGAACAAGGCGTTGACCGGTGTTTGATAGTTGCACCACTTAATTCATGTGCACACGCGTGCATATACATGCATTTGTTTAATTCCATAACGATCCCCAAGTGGCTGCTACGCTGGCCGTCGACGGTAATGTTCAGGCGGTCGTGGCCGAGTGGTTAAGGCGTCTGACTAGAAATCAGATTCCCTCTGGGAGCGTAGGTTCGAGTCCTACCGACCGCGTCTGCTTTTGTGGCTTTTTCTTGGGAGTGGGAGGGTTTGGTGGAATGAAGACGGCCGCTGGCGTTCCCGACACGGGCGTTTGGGCTGCTGCTGAGGCACAGCACGCGCGAAAATGGGAATAAAACTGCTTTATTATCTGCAAAATATTGGAAGGAGGGAGAGTGCCAATGAAGATCGGCGAGTTGACCGTCATAGAAGTCGTCATAAGTCAATTCGTAGTCAGCTACAGTATCCTGTGCGATAGCTGTAGGCTTGCCATGTTAAAGAACACAAATCTGGGAAGGGCAAAGGATGTGCAAGTTCGGACCGGCACCATATTTCTGATAAGGTCCCAGGAAACGGGTACGAAAGCCTTCCAATCGTGCACCTAAAGTTAGCCAACTGTAGCACAGCTTAGCGTTAGCTTAGCTTAACGTAAGTGTACCAGCACGGGACTATTGAGGAAACCGTTAGTACAAAGTCAGTGTAGCTTTAAACTAACTTCCCATTATCACAGAAGCATCATTGCCAGGCTCAACGTTCTTTAAACATGATGTTTGAATGCACTATCCTTCACGTCGTTGTGGAATAGTTGGAAGTCCTTAGACATGTGAGCCATGTGTAAGAGTGTGAGCCAGACATTTGAGACATTAGACATGTAGACACATGACATGTGGTGATGCGTCTCAATAAGCAGCTTGAGTGGGTGAAGGGAATCGTTTCGCAAGGCCAGCTATGGACTTCGGTCTAATCCCTCTTCTGTGTCAGTGGATAGCTTACTAGAGCCGGAGATTGGGATTTGCAGGTTCTCGGATAGATTCGAAAGGTTTGAATCGTAGCAATCTTTGATGAGCCCCCATCAAATATAGATACAGGTTCGTACGCCAAGTTAGATACGAATAAAAGTGCAACCAATCTTGAAAGCTAACGATTCTCAGCTGGTGTTAATCGGCGAGGTGTATTTGTATGGGTTCGCTCACTGGAGGCAATGGTCCACACCAAAGGTACTGGGAACGCTATGCGATAGCACCTAGTTGCCAGTAGGGCAAAGCTGCATCGGCCGGGAATCGAACCCGGGCCGCCCGCGTGGCAGGCGAGCATTCTACCACTGAACCACCGATGCCTGGGTGTTCAAGCGGTTAAACCTGTATAGATCAGGCGTAGTAGTCTCATAAGCTCAGAAGATTGATTTCTAAGTTCTTATAAGCAAGAAAGCTGTAAGTTGTTAAATGCATTTGCGAGGAATATTTTGCACAGTGAAAGATAGTACAAATAGCGCTTTTTTCGTAGCATAACCGGGAGAATGGATTGGTTGATGTATTTATATTTCGGCTGCACGTTCGTGTCGAAACGAACATCGGTAGACCGACCAAAAACTACTGATGTTCGTTTCGGTAAAGGCATGCAACCGAAATCTCCATATATCTATCTGTCCATTCTCCTGGCTGTTCCACGAGGATTAAGGCTATAAAAACGGTCTGATCTATAAGCGAGAAAGACCTTTGGCAGAAGCTAACTAATAACCCAAGCTCACACACCATAACACCAGACACAGGCTGCCGAACATTACCTGCGCCTGAAGAATATCGCTGGTATTTAGGCTCTCACGTCCCAACGCCTTATACAAGGTGCTGGTAAAGGACGGCCGGTGGATCTAGAAATCGCAAGCCACAGGACATGAACGCTTCGACAATTGTACATTTATTGGCCTTCATGGCCTCCTGGCCTGTGAAATGGCGGGATTTGAATGACGTTATTATGGTGCCATGAATGCCAAGGTAACCTCGAAGCACCCCCGATATACCTTTCCCCATTTTCGCGGGCGTGTAGCTTAGAAACTACAGGGGCTGAGGTCTTAAGAAGGACAGGATTGTGAACAGCACCGAAGGGTCTTCAAGATGGCTATTTCATTTCAAAACCTCGTATACATGTGTAACTCTGCCTTTAAACCGAGCATGAATGCGAACAGTGGTGCAGTTTCGCTAAAGGTGTTGCGGGGTTGGGGTAGGGGATGGGGTGGCTGAACAGTTCCAAATACGCTAACAAATGGTTTTCTCCGCGGAACTGCTGACTCAGAGTTGAGGGCCTCTCCACCCCCCCCCCCCCCCTTTCCAGCTGAATAGGAAAGTACACCCCGGATGCTACGCTTGGTCTCGTCTACATGAAGTTTTGCAAGATATTAGGTGCTACGTTTTTTTTCCGCGTACACTATCCTTTCCGTCCATTAACACATGTATGACAAATCCTAGTCCCAGCTAGACGTATTAGGATCTCTAGCGCTGGCTGTACTAGCAGTGACCTTGATCCAGGACCACCAGTCCACGCTGCCTGAGGGCCGTGCCGGTTGCTCAGGCGTGCGGCGGCATTGACCTGTTTGCACAGCTCATTGACAAAGGGAGCATCATATACATAGGTATACATAATGTTTGCTTTGCCATCCAACAACGTCGTCGCGAATCTGATGAAACGTGTAATCGAGAACGTACGCCACAAGCAGCAAGCAAGCCAGCCCTCATTCGGTGTTCTGGCAATCCGTTCTTAAAAAAGAGCGACCATTGGAGTAGCATTGTGCTCCTATGATTGTGGGTCACAAGATACCTGCACTGTTTTCCGCCTTTGTGATATAAGAACCGCTTCCTTAGTAGCCATGGGGGTTTGTCGTATTGTGATGGGGACGATTTTATCGGTCATGGGTGCAATGTAGAGTTGTGGGCATAACGTGCACTATTGTGCCACAAAAAGTGTCGAGAAAGGAAATCGACACTTTTGCGCGGTGTTTTTTTCAGAGTGAATGAAATAATGGGTTGGTGTAGATTGCTACGTGTAAAGGAATTTAGGAGTGAGTTCAACCTAAGGTTCCAGATGTCGGAAATAGCGTCGATACGACGTCATCCGATGCCTTTTTCACCAACCCCATGCGTTGCTTTGCTTTGCTGCCGTGGCGGGTAGTTTGTGCTCCTGTAACGCTCCTCTGCCCGGCGGTGTGCCTCTGAAGCCCCTCTGCCCATCACAACACGCCCCCCTGACGCTCCGGCGGCCGGCAGTGTGCCTCTGAAGCCCCTCTGATCATGACAACACGTCCCCCTGACGCTCCGGCGGCCGGCAGTGTGCCTCTGAAGCCCCTCTGATCATGACAACACGTCCCTCTGACGCTCCCTCGGCCGGCAGGTGCCGTTTGACGTGGTGGCTGAGGCTTGCCGCCAGTGCGGAGCGCAGAAGCGCGCCCTGCAGTCCATAGAGGTGCACATCAAGCGCCAGCCGCACCAGATGAACGCCTGCCTGCCGCTACTGCAGGTGAGCCAGCCGTGTTTAGATGGCCATGAATGTCTCGTGCGCCTGTAAATACATGAGTTTACCGTGTGTCATTTCAGTGATGAACAGCACGGGGTGCTTGGCGGTGACACTTGTTCTTGTATGTGACACTTGTTCGGTATATGAATGCAAGTTTCAGCTGTGAACGGCTTTGATGCCGTCCAGTTTGAAGTGACAAGAAAACCGCACTTCTCTCTCAGTTCAATGGTCGTTGGCGAACTCACGGTAACCAGCTAAGCTATATGCTGCCAACAGCTGATACTTGCAGCTATGATCGTGACCTCGGTCTGGAGACGAACTCTACCGCGTGTGCCGAGCTTGCCTGGCTGAAGCCTTACAGGGCATGCATGCCAGGGCCTGTTTGCTTGTCTCCTGGTCGGTACCTATACACCGTGTGCCGGTTCACGCCCCTGCTTCACACTATGGCTGCATGTGCTGCTAAGGATGGTATGCTCGTGCGTGTGCCGCTCTGGGCCTGGACGTCTGTCTGTGTTTCGGTGTGTGCCGCTCTGGACTTGTGCGTCTGTCTGTATGTCGATGTGTGCCGCTTAGGGCCTGTACCTGTATGTATGGTGGCGTGCATGTCGGCGTGTGTCGCTCTGGGCCTGTACGCATGTCTATGTCGGTGTGTTCCGCTTAGGACCCGTAGGTCAGCCTTTATGTTTGTGTGCCGCCCAGGACCTGTACGTCAGCCTGTATGTCTGTCTGTGCCCTCAGGACCTGTACGTCAGCCTGTATGTCTGTGTGCGCCACCAGGACCTGCGCGTCAGCCTGTCTGTCTGTGTGCGCCACCAGGACCTGTACGTCAGCCTGTATGTCTGTCTGTGCCCTCAGGACTTGTACGTCAGCCTGCTGGAGCCGGATGGCGTGGCCGGGGTGTCAGCCGCCCGCCAGCAGCCGCCCACTGTGGCCGACCAGTTGGTGCTGTACCGCTCCCGGGGTCAGCTCCACCACGCTCTCTCCTGCTACGAGCACGTCTGCAACACGCCAGGTCAGTCCCTGACCTGACCGCGGGGCCCCTGGGAGAGGCCGGGCGTCCGGTGAATATCCTCGTTCGCCCCCCCCCCCCCCCCGCTAACGTGGAGGTGGCGCAAACTTGCGGCCGTCTCCCTCTGAAAGTGTTTTACCTTTTTCAGGATGTTTGTGGAGTTAGCAGTCCAGTGTTTGTCGTGTTTGCATGGATGCATGGTGCTCTCAAGGTTCGTGTTGGTACCGGTATGCAGTGGCGTTAATTTAACATGTGCCACGTCTGGGTCACGAGCTTTCCTTTCTTCTGTTTTTATCGCACGAGTTCTATCCAGCCCCGCCCCCTGCTTCCCTCCGTTCTTCGTCAAATGTGTGCGGTTCCTTACTGTATTACCAGGTGCATAGTTCGACCTCTTTGTTCTGCTCGAACTTAGAAAGCGTAAGGAACATGAAGAAAGTAGCTTGTTCCACGTGAGGGTCTTCGTTGAAGGAATAATAATGGTATTTAATAATTGGTACTCCTCTGCCTAGTGCAAAAGTGGATTGCACCTCATAATCATTGTGTTTTGCGTTCAGATTGTATGCGAAGCTACAGAAGCTTGACTCGGGATTTTCGTATGATTACAACGATCTGTCCACCACCAACATTTTACTGTTATCTGCTTGTGAAGCGTGATGTGGCTGGAGGATACCTTATATTCCACATTATGTAGGCGTTGTACCCTCACTTCGTCCATTTCGTTGGTGTAATAGGCACTTGCGGTTGGGCTCACGTTTTACTTGTGGCCACATCTGAAGCCAGGTACAAAGCAGGAGCGTGCTCTTAGAAATGTGAGTGCTGTTGAAGAGATCGCGTGGTCTGACAATCTTTTTTCGACTGAATACAGGCAGAATGAGTGATCTATGCGACAGTATGTGAAAACATTAGTGCACGGTGGGCTGCTTATTTGGAGAAAGTTCGCATTAATTTTCAAATGATAGGGGATGAATGGAAGAAAAAAAACCTGCTCATGTTTTTGGCGTTTGCTAGAGTACTAAGTGGTCTTTAGTTTGCCCTACAGCCATTTGCTTTCATTTCGCAAGGCGCAGCATTTTAAGGACTGCTGCGTACGTACTTTCACACGTAAATCACATGCCGAAACGTGACAAGTGGCAATGAAAGGTCGGGCGGCGGCGGGCGGGACGGGACAGGGTGCGCCACCTGGCCGCCTGTTGCCGCCGCCGGCCGCCAGGGCGGCGCTGCCGGCGGTGACGGCCCGCCCGCTGGCGGTGCGTCCCGGCCGGGCGGCGCCAGTGCTCCGGCTGGGCCTCACTGATGAAGAGAAGACCAGCATGCTGGAGCGGCTGCAGAAGCATCAGGTGGAGGCGGTGGCCCCGCCACCCCCGCTGCCGCCGTCGCCGCCGCCTTCGCTACCGGCCAGCTGGCAGGAGCGCGAGCTCGAGTCGTCGCTGCACCGCCTGGAGCGTGGCCTGAAGAGGGCGCGCGCGCGACTGGCTGTACGCACCCCGCTGCCGCCGCCGGCCGACGATGCTCCACCCTGGCACCACAGCGACCCTGAGCCGCCGCCGCCGCCGCCGCCGCCGCCGCCAGCGGAGGTCGCCTCCTCGTGGCTGGGCGGGCGGCGGCCCGTGCGCAGGGTGACCGAGGACCGGGCGGTGCTGGCGGGCCCGCGGCGGACGGCGCTCGCCAGGCGCACCGCCTCACTGGACCAGCTGCCGCCGCAGCCACCGCCATCGTTGTCCGCGTCTCGCCTAACTACCAGGTCGATTCTTGGGCGGGAGCGGGCGGGGCTCCCACCACCTCGGCCACCCAGCTCGGTGTCCGGCGCGATAGGCTGCGGCGCCGGTACCCGCCGCTCGGCGGCCTCCCGGGCGTCCGACGGCGGCTCTCAGGCCTCGGGCGCCGGCTCTTGCGCCAGCGTGGACGGCTCCTGCACGTCGGCCGGCGGCTCCCGCGGCTCCCTGGCCGGCTCCCGCGCGTCCGCCGCCGGGAGAGCGCGCTCCTGGACCGCCGGGTCGCAGCTGAGCCTGGCGGGCCGGCCGGCGGCGGCGCGGCGGTCCCGACGTCAAACCATGGACGCTCTTCTGGCCAAGTACGCCCAGCCGCCGCCCGCGGCTCCGGCTCCGGCTCTGGCCGCCGCGCCGGCCGCAGGGCCAGAGCCGGAACGGCCGGCGGGGGTTTCGGCCGTGGAGCTGGGCCGCCGGTTGGCTGCGCTGCCGCCGCGGCAGAGGCTCGGAAAGTACGCGCGGCTGCCTCGCGAGATCGAGGCGCTTTGCGCGGCGGCGGCGGCGCCCGGGGACCGCGGGGACGCTGGCTCGCCGCCACCGGCCAGTCACCGGGTCAGCTCGACGGTGATGACGTCACCGTGCAATGAGATGACGTCGTTGGGAGAGGCGCTGGAGGAACAGATGGGGACGACAGCCTGGTCCGAGTCGACCTGCGGATTGGACGCGGCCGACGGCGAGCGGTGCAGCTCATCTGCGCCGGCAGCGGACCCGGTGACGTCAGAGGACCGCGCCACGATGACGGCCGGCGCCGGTGACGTCATTCCCGGCGTGAGTGACGTCACACCGCACAGGGCGCCACCGGACCCGACGGCGCTTAGCTTTACGGAGCGGCTGCTGCTGCGCCGGCTGCGCGGACGCAGCGAGAAGTGGCCGGAGCAGCTGCGCCAGCTGCGCCAATTGACGGAGAGGAGGCGGGTCCAGCTGCGCGACGCTGAGCGAGGATTGGACGAGGTAGATGTGAAGGCGGAGGCTGTGACGGAGTAACGTGTCGTTAAGGTGCGAGATGTTGGTCTCCTTAGCAGGTAAAGGGACGGCGACCCATGCTTTGGACGAGCCAGGCGGGAGCAAGTCTGAAACTGAGATGATCCGGATGATTGGAAACCCGGAGAGCGCCTACCAGTGGTGTCCGGACTGTTGTGGAGAAGTGCGTCAAAAGTGGGAGAGTACGCGGCACGAGAGCGGGACACCCAAGATTGTGTCACTGCGGTCATCAGCATTAAACGTGGATGACGCCGCCTTTCCCATCAGGACATCACAGCAGGTGGCGGTGATTGTGGGGGGCGTATTGCTATAGATGACGCTAAACTATTACAGCTGAGACGTTCCTGAGCTTGGACAGGCGGTCGCTGGTGCCATGGGTAAAGAGACAGCGGTCAGCAGGAGGAAGCATCCGGAAATATATCGCATGGGTAATGATGCAGGATAGTCGAGATCGAGCAGGAGGAAGCATCCCGAAATGCATTGCATGGTAACTGATGGAGGATAGACGTGTTTAAGCAGGAGGGAGCATACCGAAATGCATGGCATGGTAACTGATGGAGGATTGGCGAGTTTAAGATGGAGGAAGCATCCTGAAATGCATTGCATGGTAACTGATGGAGGATAGGCGAGTTTAAGCAGGAGGAAGCATCCCGAAATGCATTGCATGGGAACTGATGCAGGATTTGTAATCGGTGGTATCCTAATCCCTTGCCACTGACTCAGCTGTTTGGGATTTATACATCGCTGAAAACCCGGCAAATGAAATAAACCGAGCTGTGAAAAATGACCGGTTTGAATTGCAAGAAACCACGGATTAATGACGTTCAGCCCGCTGCCCACAGCTTATCCGCAAGGACTCCTGCGAAGTAAGGTGTGGTCGTCGTACGTACACACGGATGGCGCCAGGGCGCGCGGCTTAACCAATGTTTGCTCTGTGGCGTTGTCTAGTGAGTACCCCCATGGTACTTAAAAGGTCGATGCCTCACCATCAAAACTCCGGACTCATAAACTACGGAGAAGGTGCTAACAGTTGCTGGTTAGCAGTATGTCCAGCCCGGCAATTTCAACCAAGGACGTAGAAACTAAAAGGCAATGAAAGGCATGAGCGTACTGAGGGCGTGATAGCTAAGGAGGAGGACTGTGCCTTTCGAGTTCGCCCTGAACTGCAGCCCTTTTGATTGGTGGGGTCACCCCAAGACCCTCCGGCGGGCGGAGAACTCTATGATTCCCGATATTCCGTAATTCGTGACGGAGAATTCGTCATGTTCTTTTGATGTCACGAAATCATGCAAGGCGGCACGGTCTTGTAGGCTTGGTGTTACCAACATTGGCAGGGCTTTGCCTGTGCGTAGGTTAATGTGACGGTGAAAAGATTGGGACCCGAACTGTCAAGCGTCAAAACTATGGTGCGAACTGAATCCGCCCGGAAACGGTAGCCAGTGACATCCAAAAAACATCTCATCCAGTAACGACCCTCCCAAAGAAAAGACGCGACGACAAAACAGCTGACAGACAGGACGGGTCGCGGGACCGCGCGCGTTGACAAGGTCACCGCCGCCTGTCGTGATGGTCCGTGCGCTCTGCTGGGCCCTGACGACACGGCGCGCCGCTGGCAGTCAATACCCAATTACCGGCCGTCACGTGGCCTCTGACCCGCAGGACAGCCGCGGGGGCTCCGCCGCGGAGGGGAGGGGGCGTCGTCACGCTCACAGAGTCGCCGGAGCGTGACGGGGGGGGGGGGGAGAGGGGCATGATCCGTTGGGGCGGCAGGACGGCGAGTTTATTGTGATCGGTATCGGCTGCTGGGGGTTTTCGGTGTTGGTGCCCCTATTGGCGTGACGCCGTGGTCTTTGTTGGACGACGCACGCACATGCCTCATTACCGGGTTGACTATGGCAGGTATGGATGGGGTTTATCCCATGCCCAAATGTTATTACATATTGTTGCCACGGGCAGACACTAGGAAGTCCCAGCAACAGCTGTCCAACCGCAACAATCCCAACAAATCCATGGTGTGTGAAATGTGGTCATTTCTGCGTTGTCTTCAGCTGTAGCGGCGTAATGGTCGGGATTAAAACTCGGCCGTAATTGGGAGCCCTGTTTCCGCGCCTTTTATATGATATTTAAATGGAAGTCCGTGCATGATCATTTTATGGTAGCCAGCCCACCCCTACCTTCAGGAAAGGTGTCAGTAACTATTCGGTTCAAAAATTACGTAAGTTGTTCAGTATATTAGCGAGGAACATTAGTCACATA